GCTATTCTTCTCTGCATCCTTGGCATTGTCCTTGTACCAGTCAGGAACGATCAACCAGCCATTCTTGTTCTTGCGGGATATCTTTCCCCTGGTTAGGAGCTGTTCCTGGGATAAATCGCTGTAGATTTGTACCCAGAGCCAGTGGCCACAATCGTTGCAGAGCAAATTATGTGCGTCAGTGGCGAAGATGGTGTACTCCTTGCTAGCTGCACAGTTCAGATCGCTGAGTAGGAAGCACGTTCCTCGATAAGCCAGAGTTCGGTCTTTGTCGCAATTATCGCAGCCCATCTCCAGGGCAAATATGGAATGAAAGGGACTGGCCGTTTCAGCGGATGGCTCGGCCACGGTCTGCCGCTCGTCCTCCCCCGGCTTTAGGCGATTCTCTGCAGTTCTACCAGGGCCCGAGCCCGGTTGGGCCATGACAGAAGACTGCCCCTCCGCCATTATGCCGGTTTACCGTAAGCCCGGAAACCTTTCGCGGGCCGGAAACCTTCACGGCTGTTTGCGGGGGTGTTAGCGTCTAGGGAGAAAGTATGCATGCAGCTGGAATTAAGAAAATGCTTGAAGAAAAATTGGCAAATTCAGTTCGAAAACCAGTGAAATTGGCAAAACCATACTAACAAATTCTGCAATTTTTCCTTTCGGCATTATCTGCCACTGGAATGCTACACAATGTGGAAGAATATGAAGGAATATGGAAAGTGCAGGTCAACATAATGTATAATAAATTTATAATAAATGTAGTCACCCGAGGATGTTTTATATACATGGTTTTGAGCGCAACTGCCGTCTCATTCGGCACCGATGAGATATCAAAAGAAGCCAGGTTGCTACGATGTGCCCGCTGTTTGCGGCCAGGGACAGGAGACCGTGGGGACGGTACGACATTTTAGATTTTACCAACATGCAACAAAACAGAGGTCACAGTAGCGTCGGAAGGTATTCGGCATTGGTGCGGCCATGAATGGGTGGAGAACTCAGGGTCGTCCCCCGGGAATATTTTTAGGGAAATTGAGCCCAAATAACCCATATTCCGTTGCTTCAAAAATCACAAGATGAAAGTATTGGTGCGGCTTTGGCCGCACCTGCCGCACCGGTTCCGACGTCCCTGTGTCAGATTTTCCCACGGGTGCGTTGGCGTGGAGGTCGTCAATGGCGTCAGGAATATCTGCTATCACAAGATCCAGAGCCGCTCAAGGGACCGAGGCAGACTCGTGAGTGAGGAAACGAACCGATTGCTCCAAGGAAAACATCTTCAGCAAACATCGCCATTGACAACCTGCTGTGTCCGTGATATCTCCTTTCCAGTCTGAACACTTTTGAAGTCCCCAATCAACACTACTCCAGATGTTGTAGCGTTGACAGCAGTAAGGCAGTGTTGGAGAGAGTTACGAAAGGTATCAATTGCCGCAGCCGTGTTCAAGGGTGGGCGGTAGAGGGATTCAATGAGCAGGGACGTTCCGGATCCAATTCTCTGTGTTCCGCACTCTTCAGCGGAATCTCGGTTTCGACAAACGTAGCTTCAAAATTTGGAGGGTGACGGTCCGAACAATGTACAGCGGAAGAAAATACACCAGACTTCACCAGAAGAGCAACTCAACCATACGCCAAGCGTTCGGACCTGTTTGCTTTGTTTTCGGTTGTAGGTCTGTCTCTTCGATACCACGGTCGTATTCTGGGATAGAGAATGGTTGAGCTTCATGCAGCCGTGTCTCAGTAATAGACACGAACAGCAAGGGTTGGAGTGCTTTTGCTTCTGGATTGAGCAATCTACCTGGAATGAAGGTTGGGGCCCGCACAGTCAGTTCCGAGATATTCATAGATATATTGTCCGACGGGCTGGTTAGAATTGAAACGTCATTCCCTCGCGGTATGACCCATCGTGTTTGGCCAGAAGGAGTGCTGGCATACAATATCGGCATCCAGGGCATACTTGCCAACCCCTGGCAAACAGTTTCCTTGACGCAGATGAGGTATTTCCTTGATTTTGCCCATTTTTCCTTGATCTGTGATCTGTCCAAGCATTCACAAATAGTACAGCATGTACGGCAAAAACGTACTTGTTCAAGCGCTAACTGAAGAGTTCTTGCTCGCTAGAATTTTGGTGTGGGTACAGCACTTGTTGCTGCTATGCTTGCGAACGTTGAAAAACTGAAAAAAAAAGTACTGACGAACATTTTTTTGAAAATCCGGTAAATGTTATAACTTTCCCGGTACGCCGGGGAAAAAGCGAGCTGTCATGGATTTTCCCCGAAATTCCGGTAGGGTTGGTAAGTATGCCAAGGGCGTAACAGAACTGAGGACTTTCTGCTTCGGATTGGCGTGGATTGGCGTAACGCGAGGATACCTGGCGACGGATGGGATTTCTTTGTGGTGCTTCTTTGTTTGCCTGTTTGTGTGCAGGGAGTCGACTATGCGGGAATATGCGAGACTATGCGGGAATTTCCTGGAATATGCCTGAATATGCAGCTATCAGCACTGAGGTCCACCCGGGCAATGCCAGCTGCACCAGAAAAGGAAACTCCTGGAGCATTACACATCTGTTCGCGTGAAGTGTCAGAAACGGGAATACCGCTGCTGCATGGGAATGCCAGCAGTGCCATGGACTAGTCATGACTACTACTCATCACTCATTACTGCTCACCAGTGGGACCAGTACGGTTGATCGGGCCATGGCCGGACCCACTTTTTTTCGCCAACAGGTCTACAGCCGAGGAGGCCATGCGTCCCAGCCATATTATACACAAAGGTGATGCGTTATTTACATATTTTCTTCCGATAATTAGGCCACCCAGAATTAATTCGTTGTTTCGGGTCACCCGACCGACCGTCTTTTTTCACCCGACCGCAATTTTTTTTTTAGTGCATGCAAATGTGCATGACTAGACTATGTACACATGCGACCCAAATAATAGCAGTCCAGACATCGACCTCAGAAGCAGCGGGACGGGATGCAGCGCTTGGTGACGACGTTGTCTTCTGTCTCCGATCCGCAATCGGTCCTGAAACAGCATCAGCTCCGCCACTGCATCGCTCATTGACAGAAGTTTCAAGGTGAGAGCTGCTCGTCAGACTCGTTTGCCAGCGAGGCCAATATCTGGTCCTGGAGAGGACCTGGATCTGATGGGACAATGGCTACGCTGGATCGACTACAGCCAGATTTTATCGACTTGCTTGATGGAGAAAAGCTATTCGATATGCACAATTGTACATGTATGCACATGCCCACAACTAAAACAAAAAATGAAATAAAAAATAAACCCGACCGACCGACCCTGGTACGGATGAGTGAAGTGACCCGAAACAACGAATTAATTCTATGTGGCCTTATGTTCTTTCTTTCCTTCTCTAGCCATGGCTGGCTAGCACCCCTCCCCTCCTTGCCATTGGATGGCGAAATAAAAACCAAAAGATGTGAAAGACTATTTATACAAAAGAGAAAGACCAAGGCACTACAAGTTACGCTATACTGTCCACTAACACCACCAGTTACTAAACAATCAGCTCATGCGATAACATTGCACGACACTGACCGACGGTACTGACGTTCTACAACTAACTGGCTAACAGCTCTAGCACATCTTGGATGCACACTCCAACAGCCTTCCAACTTGGAAGGTTCTAAGTTATAGAAATAACATAAGGAAGGGAAGGTGAGCGTATCCAAGATAAGCACGAGCTGAACGTGTGAAACTGCTGCTTGTTACCGCTGCTTATTGTCCATCTAAATTGTCATAGTCGTACAGTGCTGTTTTACTGAGGCGTTCGGTTTTTCATGATTCTTGTTCGCATAGCTTCCCCTTTTATTGATCTTCGCATCTTTTGAGCCACACAAGTTGTGTGGAATGTTGCTTTGCGTTCTTGAATCGTGGTTTGACCGTATTGTCCAATGGTCTTGCCAGTATCGTCATCGACATGCATGAACATCCGCCAACGTCCTTCACAGCTGAGACTTTCAGCTCGTGCTTATCTTGGTCACGCTCACCTTCCCCTCCTTATGTTATTTCTATAACTTAGAACCTTCCAAGTAAGTTGGAAGGCTGTTGGAGTGCGCATCCAAGATGTGCTAGAGCTGTTGGCCAGTTAATTGTAGAACGTCAACACCGTCGGTCAGTGTCGTGCAATGTTATCACATGAGCTGATTGTTTAGTAACTGGCGGTGTTAGTGGACAGTATAGCGTAACTTGTAGTTCCTTGGTCTTTCTCTTTTGTATAAATTAAACCTTGGCTCTCTCCATCTGAGTTCATTCATGAAAGACTACTACTACATGTACGTAACTGTGGCCGGATCAGTCAAAACGGTTGCTGCCGGTCCTGGTCTTCACTCATCATTACTACTTGTACTACTACTACTACTCATTTTATTAGTACTGACGGGTCATCACTCATTCCTCTATTTCTAGCTAGCTGGGATTTCTGTATGTGCCTTTTCCACACTGCTCACCCATGGTGTTGTTAGCTTGCAGTAGCTATGACGATGGCTACCTAGCACCATAACAACAGCCCACTGTGTCATCCCCCCCCCCTCCCTTTCACTCCTGGCACATCCCTCTCCCACATTCACCCGAACACATCTGAACTAGACGGGAATCGTAGGTTGTGTGATTCTTCAGTTCACCTTATGATCAGCACTAACATATCTCACAAGTCAACAATGATTAGAAAGTTCCACGCATCGCAACACGGCTATTGTCCTCGTGCAAGTAGTCACACTTCATCTTACCATTCACATTCACGCTGATGCGTTGTGCGTCAACACTGGTTTTACCGGGTGTTAGCGGCCGTCGTGACCATGGCCATATATGGTGACCTGACTTCGGGAACATACACGATAATTTAATTTGAAGTATTGACTCGCAAATCCCCCTTCGGCGAATGCACGATCGTCCCCCATCTCCCTTTCATCCGAACCCTAGAAACAGGTATTTCAGCAAAAGAACCAGGTCGTAGGGAATTAAAATTATTTGGTGGCCCTCCTGGAGAGGGGGGTGGGGGGGGGGGGGGGGTACACAACATAATTATGTCGAAAGGTCATTAAAATACAAGGACCAAGTGCAGAAAACAGCGGAGAGAAGACACAGAAACGCATGGCACCATAATTATCAAACACGGAAGGGTAAAACTGGTACATAATAGTACTATATGCCGGGCTGGTTGACTCTATTCCTAAAAACACTACATGTACGACGCTGCCACAGCAACAGGGGACTGGCTGGAGGGGGGGGGGGCTCCATAACAGCGTTCCAGGAGCAAAGAGTGAGTTGCTCAAAAACTCAAGTAACACATTCAAACAGCCCATATGGAAACAAGTAAAGAGGAAACTCGCAGGAAGTTCAAGGACTCACTGGTACATCCCAAACAAATCAGTAAGTTAAACAAGTAAAGAAGAAACTCGCAAGAAGTTTTAGTTCAAGGACTCACTGGTACATCCCAAACAAATCAGTAAGTACATTGAATGAGGAATGACGTCAGGAGAAGTCGGGCAACAGCCTCCTGATTTGTAGAGCAACAGCAGCCGTAATAACGCACAACAACTCTAACGTAGATTCATGCTACACGGCAGCATCAGCACATCGACACAACGTCCCTGAACAAACACACAAATACACGCAACTCCTTGCCCTTGCGAGGGTCTGCGCAGCAACATCCGCATCAGCATCGACACTACTTTTCGGAACACACACACACACACACAAGTACATGCGGATTCATGACCTGCTGAAGGTTTACGCTACAATATCAATATATCGACACTTTTTCCGTGAACACCCACACACACACACAACTACACACAAATCCTTGACATTGCGAAGGTCTGTACTGCAGCATCGGCATCAGCACATCCACACTGCTGCCCTGAACACACTAGTACATCTTCTGGGGAAACAGCTTGAAATCCGGCGGGCTGGGCGAGCCGCCTGGCTTGGTCAACGGCAGGAGCTCGGCCGCGAGTCGGTGTGGTGGCGGTGGAGCGTTGCTCCAAAACCCTTCACCTCCTCGCCCTGCTCCCAGCATGGACAGCTGATCATGCTCCAGAACGTCCAGGAAGTCAGGAACGCAGGCTGCTGCCACCGCAGCCTGGCTACCACCGACAACTGGGTTTGCCGAGGCTACCGGAGCTGCCGCCGCTGAGATGGAATGGTGAGCGAGATGATCGCCTGCAAGCGGGTCATGCAACGTACTGTACGTGCCGGGGATGCTAGAATTCGCCACGCCGCGACCCCACAGCTGACGCTGCTGCACTGAGTTGCTGTGACTACGAGCACAGGGCTCGGCGGCCATCTTGCTTGCGTTGTCGTGACGATGATGCAGCTGTGGTGGAAGCAGTTCCAGTACGGAGTGGCGAGTGGCTAGGTCGCTGGCGGGATTTGTAGAAGACAGGCTGGTGTACACGCAGGGCTGACTCCTGGATATGGGGCATCGGCGTTGCTGTTGCTGCTGCTGCTGACGTGCATGGTCCATGTTCATCGCAGACCTGCCGAGGTGCGGGGAATGCGTACTGCTGGCCCTCCGGCTATTCTGTTTATTAAAAAAAACACAGGCACGAACAAGCGAACAAGCGCACATGCACGCAAGCACACAGCCGTACCAACCCATGCAGTACCCGAGCGCGCTCGTACGCGCGCGCGCGCGCCCACACACACACACACACACACACACACAGTGAAATCCAACCTCTTGAATGAGTAGAAAGCCGAGTTAAAGGCCACAGAATGGTGTTCATAGTACTACTGTATTGTAATGTGAAGTGGCCCATATGTGAAGCCAAATGAAACCAAATTCCATTGGCTAGTCCTGAACACATTACGGTTGGCTGCATGAGGCAGGCAGTGCACGTAAATGCAGGACTATGAACAGAATGAAACCGGTGCTCATGTCAAACAACAAAGTAGCAATGACTTTGTTCCAGACCAACATTCGGTTATTATCTACACGTCGACTGCTCACACGTTGGACTAGCTGCCATTGCACTTTGTCCTTCATTCCAAACACCACTCCTCACCACTCACAGACTCCACTGCAGCCATTTACACATTAGGGTGCCTCAACTCAAACACCCCAAGCACGGTCTCTTTGCTGCATACGTCATTTAATCTGTTCACTAAAATTGTCATGCATGTTCCATCATCAGGGTGGAAACAGAAAAAAAGACTCCCCTAACCTGCTCATACTGGGCTGTACGCAGGCGGCTGGCATCATCCAGAGCATACATTACTGGGTCAGACCAGTTCCATGATACGTCCTTGGAGTCGGTGCAGTGCGAGAATGATGCACCGCCACCGCCGCCGACAGCAGCCGAGGCCATCGCGGACGTGCTGGCGTGCCGAGCAGGGTGTACATCTGCAGTTGTTATGCAAGCCGCACATATATGCATGCATGCGCGCGCGCACGCGCACACGTACACACACGCGTACACACACACACACGCACACACACACACGTATCCATTTCAATGCATAAGCTTCTGCCAAGGCGTCAACAAATTACAGCTCTGAGGAAAGGCAAGACAACACTGTAGTTTTGTATTTAGCTAGAATATCACATTCGCTTTCATGTAATTTGGCTCGTACTGTATAAATACAAATTTTCGTTCGCGAAATCTTTCGTTATTTCACTCCACCAGCAGGCTTGTTACATACTACATTTCGTTTTTGGTCGAGGTCTGTCACCCTGTACGTGTAAGTATGGTGTGATGTGTGACGCGTATGGTATGTGGTGCATGCAAGAGTACACATTGTCAGAGTGCGAGAATCTGTCCCCGCAGCCCCCCCCCCCCCCCCCCCCCCCATATGATGGCGTGTGCCCCATCTCTGGCAATGCACCACCCTACTCATGTTTCGATTTTCGTGTTCATCAAATCGCACAGCAAGAACGCCGGAAAATACAGTAAATTTCCAACACTATTGACTAATTGTACACAAAGGCACACAATGAAAACCTTGGCAAATTCCGTTGTGACTCAGAGTTTCATGGCTGAACCAATCATCAGACAACTACAACTCTGTGCAACACTATTGCACTGACCCGACTGGTACATGCTGACGTGAGGTCTACTCGACGCGGCCGCCAGATTAGATGCCACCTGCTGGTCCAGCAGGGATGACCTCGTCCGTCCACCAGACGACGTCATTATTCCCAGGCCAGAGTCGCACGCCAGCGAAGTGGTGGACGTGTGGGCAGCGTTGTCTGCGCCGGAGCTCATCATCTGTACACACGAAATAAACACAAAAATGCAAGAGACGGAAAAGAGACGTGAAACATGAGCCATGTCACCAGCAACAAGAGCCCTCACGAACACAACGCCAGCAACCGCAATGCAACTACAGTAAAGCCTGTCAAGGCGACCGCTCGGATAAGGCGACCACCTGTCCTAGAAGACCACTGAAACCAGGACCAAGGGATGCTGTTTCCAGTCAAATGACCCTGGATAAGGAGACCACCTGGTAACAGAGACCACATTTTGAATTCCTTGAGCGGTCTTCCTAGACAGGTTTCACTGTAGCAATACATAATGCATACATTTTCTTTCTTCTGTTTTCTTTTTCAACTTAATCCTCACTACCCGATCTCCCTTTGGTGCGTCCATGGAGCTATGAAGCCGAGACCTCTGGTCGGCAGAGCTTAATGGGCCCCACCACCACACTCCATTATTCACCCCAGTGTCTGGAGATAATTATGTGGATTTTGTAGAAAGAAAAAAAGTACAAATCACAATAGGAGCAAAAATAACAAGACATTTTCATGCGACATGCATTGCATGCAATATCTCCGAAACAACAAATCACCAATCACAACATGGCTGTTCAAGGACCAACCTGGGAGCTGATGACATCCGTGAAAATGGACAGGGGATTTCCCCCTGCCTGATCGAGGCCTCTGACAGTGTTATCAGTGGTAGCAGCACTCGCATTGGCGAAGGTTGTTGAGATGGCAGCACCAGCTTGCACGTTGAGCGGATACTGTTGTTCCACGACCTTCTGAAGGACGGTGGATGGAACGGCGAGGCGAGGTGAGCTGCTAGATGCCGGATGAGCCATGGGCAAGGAGACGTCAATGAGCGTTGGACTGAAAGAATTGCAAACACAAGAAAGGGCACACCATGTACCATGTATGCGACCGTAGCAAGAGAAGCACGCAAGTCTGAAAATGCACTGACCTACCCACACCCACACCCATACCCATACCTACACCCACCCACCCACCCACACCCACCCACACACCCAAAAACACACAAACACTTGGAACTTGCACTTGCCAAACGTTCGGACCTGTTTGCTATGTTTTCGGCTGTAGGTCTGTCTCTTCGATAACACGGTCGTATTCTGATATAAGCTTCTTTAGCACCATTGATTACCCAAGAGTTAATCTAGCCAGAAGCAGTCCATGGCTAGCAGGTATGTATACTTCAAATATAAAGTATATGAATCCTGGAACCAACAAAGGTGCCAGGTACAACATAAGACCTTCAAGCAGCCGAGCCCGTTGGCAACAGGCCCAACACAATCAGGCATAAGTGTACCTACCAACCGAACTAGCTGGTAACACGCACGCACACACACACACACACACACACACACACACACGCACACACACGCACACACACACCCACCCCCCACACACACACGCACACACACACACACACACACACGTACACACACGTACACAAGCATACAGTGAGATGTGTACTCATTTTCCCGGCGAAGCAGCAAAATGGCTAGCCAGTAGGTACATACACAGTGCTGCGAACGGGAGTGGATTCTACCGACATTGTTGATTCAAGCGAGGGCAGAAGAGCGGCAGCCGACTCCCTGTGTGACCGTGGTGACATGCTACTACCGCTTCTGGGCCCTCCTCTTGTGCCTGCGCGGAGCAGTCAAAGGCATACATGCATATGCACACACGCGCGTGCGCAAACGTATGTACACATGCGCAGACACACACACACACACACACAGCCACACACACATACGTACGCATGCACAGACACGCATACACTCACACAGACACGTGAACACACACACACACACACACACACACACACACAACCAGATAAGCCTAGGAAGTGGGAACATGCTAGATAAAAGAAGCAACAACTACATTATCACTACCACAGCGGGCTGAAGAGGAAAAAAAATGAAAAACAGGGCCAGCATCTTGCCAAACCGAATCTCTTTTCCATCATTACTGTACACCTCAGCTACGAATTGCAAACAACGGTATGGTATGGATGACACGTTGACCTAATTTGTGAATTCTTCAGCATGCATACTCACGTGTGGCAGTCGGGGTGGACGAACAGATTGGTGACCAGGACGTTCCAACGCTGGACAAGCACATACCGACCGATAACAACGGAAGAAGATCTGAGATCGTCCCAATCAACTTGCACCTGGCTGATGACTAGGGGCGTATCCAGAGAATACAGAAACGTGCAAGGGACTTGGACTGGAGCACATGAAAGCTTATCTACTACTGTAAAACCTGGTTTAAGCGACGACCCCACGGTGCAACCAAAAGAGGTCGTTAAAGCCAGGTGGTCTTTACAACCAGGTCCCACAGTTTCTGTGTAGAACTGTCGGTGCATGGAAAAACGGTCGTTAAGGGCAGGTGGTCGCTAAACCCAGAGGTCGCTTACACCAGGTTTTACTGTGGCTGATGACCAGGGCGTATCCAGAGAATACAGAAACGGGCAATTGGACTGGAGCACCTGTAAGCTGATCTACTACCACCATTTAGCTACCGGGAAGCAACAGCCATGTTGCGTAGGACATCGCATGCTGCGGGGTCTTGTATTAGAACGTGACTTGCAAAGAAGCAGGATCTCTACAGGGCTTACAAGAGCTACTGTATAGCAGGAAATTTTCGGACGGAAATATTTTCGGACAAAGCCGAATTTCGACCTTTCGCACGGATTTTATTTTCGTACAGTGCTGCATGCTAAATGCACGTGTTCGTAAGCAGTACCCATGTACAGTGCACATAAAGTCACATGAACAAATTTTAGTGCGGAATTAATTTTAGTACAAAAAGGCGGTGTACGAAATCGTACGAAAATATATTCCGTCCGAAAATTTCCTGCTATACAGTAACTCACAGCCTGACAGCAGTGGTAACAATGTCAACTTTCGGGTCCGCTCGCATCCAGCTCTGTACGGATCCACACACACGGTTGGAGTGTGTCTCCTTCCGAGTAAGGCAACTCACCTGTTGCTCTATACATAGTTATGATAAGGCGCATGCGCGCCTGGCTCGTGCACGGTTTCGTATGCTTGCCGTGCTGGACTAGAGTACTGACCGGCGCCGAAGAACTGGGGGGTCAGGGTTCTAGCCTAGCCCGTTCTTATTTTTATTTTTATTATTATTATAGACAACACCTCATAGCATGTCAAGAAAATCAGTCAGTACGGGAGATGTGGGTGTACACCAACCATGGTGAATAAAATAATTAAAGAAGAAAAGTAATGGTCAAGACGGAGAAGCATGGGAGGGACAGGTGACGGTGAATCTAGTGAGCAGATTTAAATGCGTCCAGGGTACTGGCATTGCGCTTCTTATTTTTAGCAAACACAGCCGTTTCGATCTTATTCGATGGTCCAGTCTTGCATGTACATTTACGCAGAGTTATACGTTGGAGTGTACTCTACTGTGTACATTACGGTTTCCGTTCCTGTCAGCAAAAAATCCAGCCTAGACCGTTCTTAAAAAAAATTGGTGAAGTTCTAGCCTGGCCGTTCTTCGGCGCCCGATAGTACTGTAGACGTCAGAGAATGTGAGCTCTCTTTCCGCGTCCTTCAGTTCTTTCATCATTAGAATAACCAGAAGAACCTGTGTAATGCTGTGTGTGGGCCCTTAAGGCCAGGCATAACACCTGTTGCATCAGGTACACATGGAACTCACCATTCTATGGACATGTTCCTTAGCTCGGACATCAGCTGCTCCCGGTACGCTGTATGGTATCAAGAACATTACATCAGGCATACAGACAAACGTATCGACAGCCACCCAGACAGACACACGTGTGCACGTCGATACAAACGTGCAAGCGTCTAACTAAAAATGTGGTCGGTATGCGCTCAGCACCCATCACAGAATATAGCTGCAGGTATGGGTGTGTGCGTGCATGCATGCTTGTGCGAGCGTGTGTGTGTGTGTGTGTGTGTGTGTGTGTGTGTGTGTGTGTGTGTGTGTGTGTGTGTGTGTGTGTGTGTGTGTGTGTGTGTGTGTGTGTGTGTGTGTGTGTGTGTGTGTGTGTGTGTGTGTGTGTGTGTGTGTGTGTGTGTGTGTGTGTGTGTGTGTGTGTGTGTGTGTGTGTGTGTGTGTGTGTGTGTGTGTGTGTGTGTGTGTGTGTGTGTGTGTGTGTGTGTGTGTGTGTGTGTGTGAAATACCAGCTGTTTCAACGAGATGCAGCCTGAATTTGGACTGCTGCCAGCACCATTGCTCGACCTGTGATCGCTGCATGAAGAGTCAGGCTGGTTTTAACCGCCATAATTGTACTCGAGGCAAACGACTGCGAAAGGACCAGAGGACTAATCTGCCCATTCAATGCAGCCTATGTAGCGAACGTTTCTCCCACCCGCAGGACCTCACCCGCCACCGAAGACAGAAACACTAGCTGTGTGTAGAACGGTCCCCTTTCACCTCGATTACTCTCCTTGTTTCTTTTTCCTTTCTCGCTGTTGTCTCCCGCTTCTGGGAGCGACGTGGCCATTTTGTGGCAGTTGTACATAGTAGTAGTAGTAGTAGTAGTAGTAGTAGTAGTAGTACAGGGATGAATTTACTGTCATTTTTTTGCATAGCAGTTTTCGCGACGCAAACGCCAAAATGCGTAGCAGTCCTTGATTTTTGATTAGCACTTTTTCTTCCACGAAGACCGACTAAAATTTCTCAGTCCACGGAGGGAGGACTCGTGCTGTCTGCATAGCTGGCAGAAAATTAGCGTCACCGCTGCACCTGTAGCTTTCTCAGAACCAAGCCATTTCTTCTGGACATCGACCTCTGCCACCCACTTCTCAAAGGTACTCTGTCGTACAGACATGTTGGAGGCAGAACAAGACTAGACAAAAACTACAGCTTGGAAAATTGTCAGAGAGAAGGACGAACGTGAATCCAAAAGTTCCTCACGACCAGAAAGACCGACTGGCTACAAGCAGAAAGCTATAATGTCACGAAAAGAGGTAAGTGAACCAGAAAGAAGAAAACAAACAACAAGACCTCCGCCAGGATCGTGGAGGAAAGATGATGCTTGTCAGTACGGAAAGTACATGAACTTGCTGGACTTACTGAATGAAAGCCGCGCAAAGTGGTACGTGTAGTTCAAAAAGGACACCAGTACAGTCAGTATGTGCATGCCAAGCCAGCCAGAGTTCACAGGTACATGTACTAGAAATCACACCTTCCCGAGAAAAAAGCGGGGTCCGTGCACTGTACAGGTGTCGTGAGTGTACGACATAGTCACAGCATCACTTTTACTGACTGCGCGAGCTAGTATGCAGTGCCGTTTATGCATCGCAGTTTCCTGCGAGTCGCTGTGATTTTTGAGTCGCACTCGATCGATTTTGAATCGCAAACTGCGATGCGATACCGGATAAATTCATCCCTGGTAGTAGTGTGTGTGTGTGTGTGTGTGTGTGTGTGTGTGTGTGTGTACGTGTACATGTGTGTGTACGTGTGTGTGTACGTGTGTGTGTACGTGTACGTGTGTGTGTGTGCGTGTGTGTGTGTGTGTGTGTGTGTGTGTGCGTGTGCGCGTGTGTGTATTTGTGTGTTTGTGTTTGAGAAAGAGGAAGAGAGTGTATGCAAAACTAAACGAGCATGCACAATAAACGTTGCATACATGTGTTATGATCAGGGCACAACAAAATGACAAAAAGACAGGATACAGATTGATCTGCTACTTCTTCATTATTAATTTTAACTCACAGATATTGAAATCCTTATCTGGCTTGATAGAATGAGCCAGGCGAACACAGATGTCGTCCACTTCCTTCTCAAAGCGCTTGCCGTCCTTTCCAGCAGCACCGGAAGCAGCGAGGCCAGACACTGCCGCCCCACCTGGAACGCTGACTTGACAACCAGGTGCCGGTAGAGGTCCGGAGCGACTGCCAGCTGTGTGAAGTCCGAGTGGTAGATGCGGTTGCTGGTGACGTTGTTGCTGCTGTTGCTGCTCTTGATCCCGTTGCATGATGAGCTGGTTGTGCAGGCTGAGGTTTGCCGAGGACAGGGCGATTGGGGCGTGCACCGGCGGTGGCTGGGTGTGAAAACAAATACACACATGCGCATATACACACATTCACACGTGCACAGACACACAGACACCCACTTATACAAACAAGCACACACACACACACACACATATAGACACACATATGCACAGACACACACAAGATACGTCTGCAACATTACATGGCTCTGAAGTTTGATAAACAGAAGAATTTCACCTCGATCGCCCTCTGAGGAAGCTACAACCAATTTTACATAAAACTTTGAACAGCATTTGCAAAATGACATTAGGCTACACATACAGAGGTGCCTGAAAGGTTTATCAAATTACCTCAGCTCCCATCTGCACTAGCAATCCGGTTTGAGAAGTGTTCTGAGATGAGGCGCTGCCTTCACTTTCTAGAACATGAACAGTGTGGACATTCAGACAGAAAATTTGTATTTTTATTAGCATTTACTCAACATTTCCTGGCTCGTCCAACGACTACCAACGACAAATGAATGTGAAATGAAGGGTGATAGCCAACCAGATTACTACAATTGTAGACAGGTTTCAACATACAGTAGAATTGCTATCACAGGCCCGGTAGAACCGGTCCGGCTGCTCAGGCCATGGGCAGATCATATGTTTGACCATCAACGTGTGTTTACTGCTGAGGAGGTCAAGTTTAGCCGCCATAGCACACACAAACTGTATGAAAGGAAAGGACCAAGGAACTAGAATTATCGGCTCTCCATCCGAGTTCCACGCATGAAAGGTTAGGCTATGGCTGGCCCAATCAAACACTCCTTCCGTCGGTCTTGTATCATGATTGAGACAAGCCAAAGACATCCCCCCTCCCCATCTAAGCACAACACACATACCCACGCGCACGCACACACGTACGCACGCACGCACAGAGGCACACATACACACACACACAGGCACACATACACACACCATTTCTCTAGCAAAAATCACCGACTTGCCACACATCATTCCGAAGCCACAAGCACCTGGTCATCCCCCCGGATGGTGTGAGAAAAGAGAAGCCCACATGCATTACATGTAGGTACTAACCTCTCTGTACTGGCTGAGAGATTTTAGCTTGGTTGTAGATTCCGACCTTTCCAACTTGTTGCTACAGGAATGGAACAAAAATCCAGAAGATCGTCAACGGCGGTGACAAATCATCGGAATTGCTGTCGTGTTGACATCAAAAACTAAGTGCCCAGAAAGGAATTCACTTTTCCAGCAGAATCAGACATGGAGCCAGCCACCATAGCACGGGTTAGAGGGGACTTCCCCTGCACCAGCACTAGAGCACTGTCGGGCGCCAAAGGACGGAGTGCCGAAAAGCAACAAGGCTAGAATTTCACCACACACACATCATACCAATGCATACAATCATGGTGACTCGACTGCTCACAGACTGTAATACAATCATGAAAATAAGAACGGTCTAGGCTAGGAGGCTGACCGCCCAGTTCTTCGGCGACCGACAGTACTGTACTCTGGTATCTTGATTGCATTGCCTTCAACGTGGCTCTGCGACTAGCACCTATTTCCTCTCTCTATAGATGCATGGCACAAGAAATGACCATTCATTGGTGGAGTCATCTTCCAGTAAGCCGATCTGAAAATTTAATAATATCGAATTTTGCGATTTTGCGGACATTTTGTGTAACTTTTCCGTACAGCCTACTGCCTTCATTACGTCGCATACTCATACACTCAAACCCACAATCTCTCGTAACCAGTCTCGTAACAGTTTTTATGCTGATTCATTCCAGTATCAGTGCGATCTATAGTACAGCTCAATGAAATCCAGCCGCGTCACTCAAGTTTGCGCCTTGCACCACTTCGCAGCCCAGTGTTTGCAGGTCTAGGGCTGGTCAACGCCCGGCGCTTACTCGAGTGACGCGAATGGATCTCAGTGAGCAGGAATGTATGAGTTTTGGGTGCATGAACTTCAGCACAAAAGTAGGAAGGGGTGGTGTTTCATTGTCCGCTGGGCGTTTGATTTCCCGCAGCGTAGCCACATCCAACAATGTGAAATGCCTCGGCCTGGCTTGGGATACAAAAGAGGACACTCTTAATGTCATTTCCCCTAATGTGGCTCACAAACACGCCAACACCAAGCGCAGCATTATCTCTGCTGCTGCTCGCTTTTACGATCCCGTTGGCTACCTGCCACCTCTGTTTGTTCGAGCCAAACTTTTTATCTAGGGCATCTGGAAAGCCAAGCTCGATTGGGATGATCCGGTTCCCAACAGCATTGCAGACGATTGGCAGGCTATTGCCCAAGACGTGGACAAAGCAGACACGTTCCAGGTACACTGCTTCACTGGTCTTGACCCTGCAACTGTCACTCGCCGCGTACTTCATGTGTTCTGCGACCCATCCGAGAAATCGTATCGTACCGTTGCCTATCTCCGTGAGGAAAGCGTCACAGTTGTGGCCACAGTCCTGGTCGTCAACAAGACGAAGGTTGCTCCTCTCAAACCAATGACAACTCCTCGTTTTGGGGTTAATGGCAACGCTAATCCGTTCTCTGCTGATCAAGTTCCTACAGGACACGCTGTAGGGACCTCGCTGCATGACGTCAGCTCCCTCACCAGATATATACGCATGCGCATGAAACATTTCTTCCTCTTTGTTCTAAATAAACATCAACCATTACTAGACAAAGTTGCCCTCTCCACTGGAGTTGTATTTCTTAGGCCCCAGGGTGGTGTGTCCCGGGATTCATCTGTCTCCCCTGTGAACAGATCCGACCTCTGCCATCCTGGGTGCCTAAATTGGTGACCCCCGACGCTGCGCTCGCGGAGCATTTTTGTTTTTGACTTTCCGGATTTGGGAATTATTTGTGGTGCCTCTCGCCGCTCACGGCACACCTGGAGCTGCTGCGGACTACGCCTCCTGCCGCCGCCATCCGTCGTCATGCTGTTTCCGCCCGTCAGCCTGCCAGCCATCACTGGTTTTCGCCGCAGTCGGTTCCTGCGTGCACCACATTCTGGCTGCCTGTCAATCACCGGCTGTTGACATTAACCCTTTACCGTTTTAGGTATTTGTACAGCAAAAACCGACCATCATTGTTCATGCCGTAACTTTTTTATTTTTCACTTTTATTATGTACAAAATGGGGTGATTCTGAAAGTAAAAACCCTCAGGAATGCGATGCAACAACTTTCAAGTCCAGAAAACGAACACAGATTTCACTATTTAGCACTAATATTTATTTGGATTTATTGCCGACCGGGCAAACTGTTGCAATATGCAATAAATCAGATCCTTGCACTGGAGTGGGTCCCTCAGGTAAGTGGATACCAGGTTCGTTCTCTGGGTGGAATGCAGGAGTGTTACCAGTCACAGCGGTGTCAGCATTGTCCCAAGTATTGCAAATATCGACTAGTGCAGGTTGCACCGCTGGCTGTACATAGTACCTGTGCACCACGACCTCTACCGTGCGACGGCCTATTCCACGGCCGAATCCTCTCTCTCTGCCACGTCCCCTTCCACCATTAGTGGCACTCATCTCAGCGACACTGTCGTCGTCTGTGACATCCATGTCACTCTCACTGGCGCTGCTTTCACTCGCCATGTCATCGTCGCGGTCGTCGTCAGAATAAATATTTTCAACAGGATTGTCTGGCTCCACAAACTCATCTTCGCTGGATGAGGCAGTGACAGAGTCGTCAGGTAGGTCTCCAGAAGCGAAAGAGCTTGCTCCGCGTCCATGGCTTGCACAGCAGGGCAGACAGTCGTGAGGCCAGCTCAAGCAAAAGTCGAAATAATCTGCAGGCAATACCAAAAGTCGCAGGGTACGCACTTTTCCCAAAGCGCATTTTTCAAGTCGCGATTTTTGCGATTTTTTATATTGCATCACACAAAAAAATTGTCGGCACCCTCTGCGCGTACATCTTGGCTACCAGTAGGGAAAATCCCAGCTCTCTGCGGTGAACCAGTCCAGCGCTGTGCGCATAGAAGTCATCGACCGCGAGCGGTCGAAATTTGTACGTACAAACGGTAAAGGGTTAAACTTGAGCCTAACCATCCACACCTCACCGCCTGGACTTGGAGCTGCTGTGGAGCAACCACCCTCCGACCACCGTCCAGTGTGCGCCGGCCACAAGCTGGAGCTTGGCCCCCTCCCACCCGCAAAGCCTCCCCAATCGTGGAGCCAGCACTGCTGCATTTTGTACTGTACTACTGTCATGCTGTCCTGTGCCCTGGATAAGCTGCCGACCACCCAGTCGCCGCCCCGCCATACACAGGCACACCGCTACATGGGCTGCTGTCCTGCAAGACTTCTGCGACTGATCACTGTGTGTCTTTGCCTCTGCCCTCACATTCAGTTTTTTTCTCTCTCTTTCTGCCTATGACATGCTCTCCACCTCTGTCACGTTAATCCAACTCTGACATGTTAACCAGCCTCTGTCACGCATCTCTTTTCTGCTTCCTGCATTTTATTCCTCTGTTTCGTCCATTGTCGCCTCTTTAAAAACAGTGGTACGCCACATGCAGCGCTTTATATTTCCTTGTCTTTCTCTGTCGTTCTCTTTGCTCCGCTTGTTCTCTGATGGGGGAGTACTGTAGCGACCTCGCTGCATGACGTCAGCTCCCTCACCAGATATATACGCATGCGCATGAAACATTTCTTCCTCTTTGTTCTAAATAAACTACAACCATTAGACAAAGTTGCCCTCTCCACTGGAGTTGTAATTTATTAGGCCCCAGGGTGGTATGTCCCGGGATTCATCTGTCTCCCCTGTGAACTGATACGACCTCTGCCATCCTGGGTGTCTAAAACGCTGCCATTCGATCTCTGCCAAACTGGTCTGTGGTCCGACTCAACTTGTGTCAGACACTGGATCAATGGCACAACCCAGCAATCTGTGTTTGTCCAGCGGCGACTAACGAAAATCCGGCCGAATCTGACAATCGAATTCACATATGTCAATACTGATCGCAGTCCTACTGAGTGTCGGCAGTCCTGGCTATCATGGTTGACCTCAGTCTCTTCCTCTCCCGGATACGTACCTTTCCAGGAAGCTCGACATTATGAAGATTGAGTGAGTGGAACTGAAGTTATGATCCAAGGAACACGAAAAATGCAGAATTTTGAAAATCTCCTGCGGGTTAAAACTCCGATGGCATTGGTTGTGATTCGGTTGGAACCCACCCCCCAGAGGTGACCCTGCGTACGCGCCTGCTACGTGTTCACAAACTACAGACAGTAGGCTACTGCACTTTACCGATTCGCTCTCCTTGCTGTTACTTCTTCTCCATTTCTATTTTGTCGCTGCACTAGTTCCTTTCTCCACAATGCCACGTCAATGAAAGTCGTGGTTGCCATTTTACTGCGTGATCTCCGTGCGCAGCTGCCTGTAGATGCAGCAGACTTTTCCGTTCAATTTTGGATCTTGTTTGAGAAAAAAACAAAACTTTCCTAATGAAGAAACGTTGTTATAAATTAATGTCTTTCATGTCTGTTGGTTCGGATTCAATGGCGTCGCGAGACACGACACGAATGCAGGGGTACATGATGTAATAAGGGCCGCGTGACTCACATCTGGGCCATAGAAAAGAGATTACAGTCGCATACTCTTGGCTCTTTACTCGTGATATGAATACATACGAGTGCTACTCAGCTTTCCGAGCACTTTGAACACAGACTCTGTGTGTATGCGGGACAGCGTACCGTGATTCGATTGCGTGATATGACAGCGATGGCATCTTTCAGTTGCTTGTTAGATTGCCAGTCAGCTGTCTTGCTTGCTGACAAAGCGGAATCATCCGACTGGAAGAGAACACATTGAACGTGTGTGCAGCAAATACACACGTACACACGCACGCATTCATGAACGCACCCACCCACACCAACACACACACACGCGCGCGAGCGCACGCACACATACACACACCCACAAACACAAATTACCGTAAAGTACCGTTGATCCGCCCCCTCTCTAATTCCCGCCCCCTGTCGATTTTCTCCTTGTGAAGCGACTTTGGCGTATACAACGAAATACGATGTTGAACCGACGCATGCACTGCTGTACACAATATTCGCCAATCCAGGATCAAAATGTGCACAATCCAGCACATTGAGTCTGATCCTCTACGTTGTTGTACATCGTACTGCACTTGACAGCCTTGATCTAATTCCCGCCCCCTGCCGAAAACCCAGCTGGGAAGCGACATGGCGTGGGGGCGGATCAACGGTACTTTACGGTACATGCACATAGCCATGTGGACACTGGTCAAACAGATAAATAAATTTACTTGTACTTGGTGACTGCCAGAGACTGGTCAAGCACGCAGGTCTCCAAGGGAGACAGAGAGAGAGAGAGCAGGGAGATAACTCAGATTCCTAACAAATCTTGGGCTCATCATACTACAGTTTGTGGACGAGGACAAGGTGCCTTGTGCTTACCAGTCCACAGATGGTGGCAATGGTGTTACGATCTGCACGCTTGCGATGCTGAGTAATATCGGCTCTCTCTTGTAGCGGGACACTCTGTAGTGTGGGAAAGAGAGTGTGTGTGTGTGTGTGTGTGTGTGTGTGTGTGTGTGTGTGTGTGTGTGTGTGTGTGTGTGTGTGTGTGTGTGTGTGTGTGTGTGTGTGTGGTGTTGGAGGGGTGCGGGGGGGGGGGGGGGAGAGAGAGAGAGAGAGAGAGAGAGAGAGAGAGAGAGAGAGAGAGAGAGAGAGAGAGAGAGAGAGAGAGAGAGAGAGAGAGAGAGAGAGAGAGAGAGAGAGAGAGAGAGAGAGAGAGAGAGAGAGAGAGAGAGAGAGAGAGAGAGAGAGAGAGATGGAGATAGATAAATAGAGAAAGAGAGAGAGAGAGAGAGAGAGAGAGAGAGAGAGAGAGAGAGAGAGAGAGAGAGAGAGAGAGAGAGAGATAGATAGATAGATAGATACATGTAGATAGATAGATAGAGAGAGAGAGAGAGAGAGAGAGAGAGAGAGAGAGAGAGAGAAAAGGTAGGGAAAAGTAAAGAAGAGAACCAGCGTACACATGCACGCGCACACTCGCACACACGTACACACACTCACGCATGCACACGTGCACGCACACATACACACACACACACACACACACACACATGCTCACGCACATGTAGACACACACTCACACACACTCACACAAACACACACGCACACACGTACACAGCGGATACTTGTTAGTCAAAAACTATGTTCATTTCTGACACACAGAATCAAACATGCTGTGAGTATTTTTGTTGGCTTTGCTTTGCTGTATGCCATATTTCTCAGAGCTTTTCAGGTGCATCCTGCCATTGTCAAATTAAAACTAAAGCATACACAGTGTCTGCTGTAGGATTTCAAACCAACCGACCTGCCACAACTCTTGCAACCGGGTTAGTCCCATGTGCATTCAAGTGCGCCTATTGTACATCGGGGAGTCTTAGGACTCCCCGATTGTCCCAACCGGGACACAGATGACCCGGTTTTCTTTTTCCATGCGGGTCCAAGTACCCTCCAACCGGTCCGCTGACCCGGCTCTGGAGCAGACACTGATTTACATTAAAACTAAAAGGATACAGGCATGCATATCTGTTGCTCATTGTTCCACACTGCCGACATAGACCGGGCATTGTTACATGTATCCTCCTCAGCAAAACACTTTCAGAAGGTCTAGGCTTGCACAATGAGCCGAGTGGCCTTTGGCCAAGAGCACTGTCACAATGTGGTCCCTCCCTCAAGCTACAGAGGGGGCAAGTGAAACCCGACTCAAGGATTTTCAGGGGCGGATGAAAACATCTCTACAGGTTCCAGTTTAGCCCAAACTGAGTAGCGGATAAATGTACATGTACTTGCATATGGTTTCCGGTAGTACTTTTGGAAATTTTAGGGGTTCCTCGGATCTCCTCGGAACCCCCTCCCTTGGATCCGCCTCTGATTTTGCGTACGAGCTAAAATGAATCTTAGCAAGTAATGTGCATGCGCCTGGCAAGTCAGCAAAGCGTGTAACCTTTTGAGTTTTCGGCTCTCATTTTCTGCTTTTGCGTATGGCTGTGTACTACTGCGTACCTGTTTACCGTAAACCGTCCCGTCGTTTCTGGTGTAACTACAAGATATCTATTGGAGAAGTGTAAGCAGAGAGTAGTAAAATACCGATATTTTACTACTCCCTGCTGGTAAGCAAGAAGGTGACAAGATACGTAGTACGTCATGGGCACAGCACACATGTTCAGGTGTCCATGCATGCACTACCCATGCTTTGAGGCTGGTGTGGCCGCGTGTGTTCTACGAGTGCGGTGCACCGCTACCGGGGCCAGATTTCAGCTGCCGCCATTGTAGATCCAAAATTGGCCCCTTTGTTGTTAGGGGACTAAGATGTTGCGACATTGGCGGTAATTTGTGAAGAAAGTGTCTGCTCCAAACGTCGGAGCTCAAGCTTCCTGCCGATTGAGTCAAGTACCAAGTCTGGTCTGATGAGACTGCTAATGCACACACAGTGAGGGAACTCCCATACGGGCAGAAGTAGTGCATGTGCTCGTGGTAACACCGAGACCCCAGGTCGGCGTTGCTGGCTTGCCTCGCCAGCTCAGGTTCCTTCTTGAAGCACCTACTCTTCCTATTGTTGTGTGGTCCTGCCACTTCTCTCCCCTCTTCTTACGAGTAGCTTGGGTCCTCAGTAAAAATGTGTGTAACGTGTGGGGTATACATGTGATGAATTTGAATACCGGTGGTGCGGTCAGATTTTGTGCATGCCCGCTTGGTATGCGTTGAAAAGGATCTGCCACTTGCGATCTTCGGACGAGTATCAGGTCAGCTTTGCCTTGTGTGGGCTGTACCAGTTCACTTCTCTATCTGTTGGACATCTGACTTTACGGTGTATCTTCCCATCGACCAGGTCAGCTGGGGTTTTCACAGATCAACGCAGCCCTAGGCCTCTGTCAAAGGAGAAGTCATAATGTCCACTGCTTCGACTGCAGCTTCCTTCTAGGCGAGGTCGGACCGTATACGGCAAATGGAGTATCGCAGCCACCTCTGACCAATGCCATTCAGCTCAGCCCCCCCCCCCCCCCCCCCCCCCCGACTAAGAGACACTACATGACTGCTACTGTAGTAGACATTGGAATCTGCTGAGAACACAAGCGGCCACTGGGCGCTGGCCTTGCAGCCGTGAGCACTGCTCAGGCTTGTAGCCCGCATGGAGGGGGGGGGGGGGAGGGGCACATGCACCTCCACCCCTAAAAATATTTCCCTAGGTTCAGCATGCGTATGTACATAATGACCATGCATGACATCAAGAGTAGATCAACAAGAGTGTGCAACTCCGGATCTCTCCTGCACAATCTGCAGATACCCCCACCCACGTCGGAATTTGTGTTGACGTCACCTTTTTTCAGAAAAACACGCATTTTGCCGCAGAGCTGTGTGAGAGCACGTGCTGGGCATCAACCTTGTAATGTAAAGCCCAGCCAAGTGCACGAGGCAAAACTTTCCAAAAGACTCACAACGCGTGCGTCGTAGAAAAGATTACGTCAGCAAAAAATCCGTCGTGGGCGAACCCATCCCGGAGTTGCACACTCTTGTTTATCTACTCTTGATGACATGCACCAGCTATCCTACACATATGCGGCCATGCACCCTACTCCCCGCTCCCGAAAAGGAGGATCAGCTACGCCCCTGCTGGCGGTCCATTTTTGCAACGTGTACGTCAACTACTCTACCCACGGCGGAATTTTTTTGACGTAATCTTTTCTAGTTTTGCCGTGGGCCGGCACTCTTACTGCCACTAGTACAGGGGCATCGGAAGGTATTTTAGAGTGGTATGGTCAGTCATCTGAAGTACAGTTTACTTGTGGAGGAGGGATGGCGGAGGCGAAAATTTTGGAAAATAAGAGTCCAGATCAGTGTATTTTATTGATTCACGGGGTAGACCCAGGTGCTCGAAGTCCGTACATGGTATCCTAAGTTCGTACGCCCATAATGTCATGTTCTGTTATTGTATTCGACTCAAATATTTTATGGAGGGGACAGTGTGGTATGTTCTCCTCGCGTAGCAATTTTCAGGGATCTACGATAAACAGAAGTCCCATTCCACGCGAGTGGGTTTTCGAGTGTCCATACGAAATACAAATTGGGTTACATTTCATGCAAAAATCAACTTTGCCAAGACCGATTTCGAACGGACACAGCGTCAAACAGACCTTCACTCAATCATCAAGAGCCAGCTTAGAGCTGACAATGGCCAGAGGAGAAGAATTTACAGAGAACCACCAATCCTTGCAGAAATGGTTGACACTCCTGGCATCTCCACCACTGTTTTCCCGCGGTTTTCACAGCGCAGCTGCTTCTTCTCTGAGCCGACTAAAAACAGCTTGCATTTCGGCAACAAACTACGCTTTTGCAAGAAATACTGGTGGGGGCACATGCCAAACATATCCCTTCGGTGCTTTCGTCGTAACCGAGGGATTGCAAGTTAGCAATTAGCAGAAATATGTGTGTATTGCGAGTCATCTCTGATCAGTACGGACTTAGAGTACCCTCTGCGACACAAAAATTTGATATGAAAAATCAGCGAACTCCAGAGAAACAGATCGGATCGAAAGATGGCCTGGTTCAATCAAGCCTGGCCTCAGAACAAACTTGGACAAGATACCTTCCATCCACGAGCAGGATTCTGGCAAGTGATCATTGCTAGTGTGAGTTTCAGCTCGGCAAACACACACTGTAAAAGTGTACGGACTTCGAGCACCTGGGTCTACCTGGGGCAAAAAGTGGTACGGTCAATACCGTAGTGACCGTACCGTGTCCGACACCCCTGCTAGTAGCTCTACTAATGGCAGCAAGAGCGCCTGCCACAGTCATTCCACCGAATTTCAACATCCACAGCAGTAGGTTGTCTTCTGAACACTGTCAACACATTTCCTCTGAAGAAATAAACATTTTGCCTTTTTGTTCCAGAGAAACTAGGTTGGTACCGAAGTCACATACTGTGGTGCTGCGTTCGAGATTTGGCTGCCTCCTTTCAAAATCGAAACGTGGCAGGGTTCGACTTGGCAACAGGCCGGTTTTGTGCAGGATACTCGAAGGTAGGCACTACACTGAGAGTCAACTGTCGTGGGATTTCATTGCTAGTGATTTGCTACGGCTGAGCAAAAACGGCAATAAGCCGCTCTCCATGTGCACAGTGATTCAGATCATGTAGCTATACACAAACTAACCCAACCTCTTCAAGTTCTACCCGGCAACAACCATGAACACTCGAGAATCTGGCAAACGCATCACTCATCTTCTTACCTTCATGGACGACGATCTCGACACTGCCTTCCGCTTGCTCCGCTTCCGTCGCGGGCGCGACTCTCCGTAGCCAGCCGCACCGGTGCCCAACAACAACGATCGAGAATTCTCCTTGCCGTGGTCCATCCTCGCCAATGCTTCCCAAGTACCGCAAACCTGCAGCGCAGGTGGATCGCTCAGGTCTCTCTTCTCAATAATATATTATGATCCGAAACTGAACGTCTTTGACGGTCCCCAAACAGCGATGGTTTCCGTTGTAAATAATATTAATTGTTCGGCGAAAACCCACAGACGCCACACGCACACAAACAGCTCCGGTCTCGGGACAAAAGGTCCAACGCCTATCAGCTGGCCTTATACACAGAAAGAATGTCGTTCGCCTCCCTTCCAACGATAAAGCACCAAAATAGACGGAAACTAAGCAGCTTTATCACCCTGCGACTGTCTGCAATAAACTTCTCGAGTTTCACAAAGCAGAGCGTGAATGCTTCTGGCAAACAACCTCACCTGGCGTTTCTCACAAACAACCAGCGTCCGTGAGTGATATTCCGTCTAGGCAAAGGACATGTCGCAAACATTCACGAATTTCCGTCCAGATGATCACTGCGCCAGAAAAGCAGTGGCCAACTGAACGGAAGATCGGTCCTCGCTTCACGAATCAACACTGTGCGACACTGCAATCAAGCTTTCTTCCCGCCTTTTGCTACCGAGTATCGTTCATATCTCGAGTGATCACTACGAAAATGCAATGGAATTCTGATCCGAAAAACTACTGCCAGAACCCGTTTTTTCGATCTTGGATAGATTTGGAGGAAGCGAAACCGGAAATGCAAATAATAATTATTATACTTTAAGAAATTAGGCTAAAATCGTCAAGCTCAAAGGTTTGAGAAACAATCGCTAACATAGGTTGACCTTTGCTACCCGTTGAACCCAAAGGGTCAAACTAGGACCTACCGGTACGTAGACTCTCTGATAATCGTAGGAGTAGGAATAAAGAAAGCGAAAATAATTAATTGGTCAAGTCTTTTTCCAGCCCATTGCAAGCAGTTACCAACTCCAGTGGCGATTGTGGAGTGGATGGGACCTGATACCAAGCTCCGCCGACCATAAAAGCCTTGACATCACAGCTGAACGTGTACACCAAGGGAGCAGAACAGTTTAGGGTCCGGCGGATTCTGCCGGCAGAAAAATTGGCAGAACTCGGTACTTTTTCTGGTAAGTTTCATGCATGTTTGGTATGTGGATAGAAAAATGGAGCAGAATTCGAGGAATTGCCCGCCATAAGGTTTGTATGGTTCTGCCAATTTCACTGCTTTTCAAGCAGAATCTGCCACCTTTTCGAGCAGAGCTCGCCGGTCCCTAGAACAGTTACATAGGAAAGAGCGGATGAGTAAGGGAGTGCATGTGCATGTGTATTGTGATAGAAACAAAATGCATCCTGTACGGGAGGAGAGATGCACGAGCCTGACCAACTAAAACTTCTCACACTACACACATGCAAGCAAGCTGTGGAAATCTGCTAACAGCCTCCTAAAGATGGGGCTTGCTGAAAACTTGGATATTTGTTTACTTACAGGGGAAATCACATCATAATACATAGTAGGAACACTGACAAGACGTACAGTATGATGTATACTGGCTTACATCATACATTATTATAGTAGATTCCACGCACATTGAACGCTTACATACATTTACGTTGCAGCGCAGAGCTCTGCTCTAGACTACTTCCTTTTCCCTTTCTTTGCTCACCACTATGTATACAGCTTTGGTAATATGAAAAGTTTGGCAACCCCCTCGCTCGGCCCAACATCCCCTATGTTTTGTCCACCTGTTTTCCAGTAGGGCTGTGTTAATAGTAATAAAAAAGGCGAAAGACTTCGCAGAATTCCTAACAATCAAATTACCAAAAAATACGTGATGGGCATGGTTGTGTTGATCCATACTCGGACATACATTGGGATAGGAAGTACATGTACAGTGCTGCTCAATGAAATCCAGTCGTGTCACCCAAGAAGTTAGCACCTTGCACCGCTTTCGCAGTCCAGCAGTTGCAGGTCTAGGGCTGCGAAACCGTGCGGCCTGGCGCGTGCTTGAGTCGCGCGACTGGATTTCATTGAGCAACACTGTACCTTGGATACTAAGTATATGTACACTGTTCATGCTGCCCGGCATGCATGGGGGTACGTCTTTTCAGATTTCCACTGTATTGCTTGATATTCAAGATAGTTCAAATCTGTTGCAACATCAAAATTCATAAGATAAAATGACATACAGCTGTGTCAAGATGAGGATAGCGAGCGGCTGTCTCAACGCCTCCAACTGTTGAAGCTAGTCAAGAACCTTCAAAGGCTTGTAACAAAGCCAAGCATGTATGCAGGCACTACATCTGTTCGTGATGGCCTCGTGCGTGCGTTCACATCACAGTCGACCTCTACCAAAAAAGAGATTTGACCATACCGAATGCTCAGGACCAGCGGAAACAGTTTTTAATTGGTCCGGCCCTACCCTAGTCCTTCATACACGTAACAGTTTTGATATAGTAAATACTAAATACACATGACCTCCTCGGCAGTAAACACACGTTGCTGGTCAAAAGTTGGTCCGGCCATGGCCTGACCAATCGGAGCGGTTCCGCCGGGCTTGATGCTACTGTGATCTCCTTGGTCGCGCTTGAGCACTGAAGCGACCAACTGTGTCCCCGGGAAGGAGACAGTTTGATTCGGTATTTGGCTGTTGAGTTACGACGTGCCGAGGTGCAAGCTGCTGGAGTATTGAATGGGTGGCACCGAAGAAAAGAAGAAAAAAACCATCCACACATAACGAGTGTGGAGAGTCTGGAGACGGACGCCCTATGAGTGGATAGGATCTGGAACAGGTGATAGCTAACTGGAATCTGGCACGGGTGGTAGCTAACCTGCTGCGCATACGGAGAGTCCAATACAGACACCTCACCGCGGGCACAGCTTGATAGCATTTACACACCCGTTGTAGTCCCCTATGTTCTCTTGCTGCAGTTGTTGCCGTTCTCTTCCATTCTATGCAGGCATGTGCACTTTCAAAAATAAATAAAATAAAAACACCACTAGGTACAAGATACCAGCAGTTTTCGTCCATTACAGGAACACTTGTCAGACCAAATCCCCACCACGCCAGCAGTCATGACAACCGCACGGGGTGGTAGTTCAAAGAATACCCGCAGAGGTTGGTCGACGCACAAAACGTGCCGCCAGTCAGGGAAGCATCGGAACGCGGCAATCCAGCCGTATGCACATGGCCTGCCTCTGTGTGAAGCCGGTGATCTGCTCTAGTTTGTTGCAAGTCTGTCTCCAAACTCGGTGACGATGATGCGCCTTCCAAACTGCTTGACATCTTCCAGCTCTAGTGGCACATTCTAACACGCACAGACAAGATCACAAGGTGCACGGATGCACGTGTGTACACATGTGCACGCACACACACACACACACACACGTACATGCACACACATGCACGCACACACACGCACACACACACACACACACAAAATACAATACAGGCTGATATTCAACAAATAACAACAGCCGAAATAGCTCAGTTGGGAGAGCGTTAGACTGAAGATCTAAAGGTCCCTGGTTCAATCCCGGGTTTCGGCATTCCTTTTTTTCTACATTTTCTTCTTTGGAGAGCATTACAGTGGCTAGGGGGTAATCTTCATTATTTTGATCTTTTTGAGAGTAGCTATGGAGCTGAAGCTGTATTTGCATGAAAAGACTGTTCACCATTTCTCAGGATGCTGATATGCACGTTTCAGAGATCTTTCATTTCGCACAAACACACTATTGACAACACCAAGAGTGCATAAACAAGAGTATGCGACTATGGTTATGGGTCAGTGCGCGGTGCGCTGCCTTCATTACGTAACTTGCCTTGATCACGCTCTGAAAGCATGCATTCAAACTCACAATTTCTCATACGAGCCCATCTGTTTTTGCTCGATTCGTTCCAGTACCTACGCGATCTCTAAATTCTGGCGCGTGAACTCCAGTTCCGTACGAAAGTTCATTTCAAACCAGAGGGAAAGTGCGGTGTTTGATTTTCCGCAGTGCGCGGACTGCAGCTGAATGATGTAATGAAGGCAGCGCGCCGCGCATCTGGCCCATAGAAAAGAGATCACAGTTGCATACTCTTGTTTATGGACTCTTGACAACACATGTGGTAGTAGAAAAGTCGTAGAATTTAATATTTTGATGGGGACGGCCCTACAGACCTTGGTGTCTTGTTACAGAGAACGCTAAGTGCTCGTTGCGGAGTGAAACAAAGGCGGGTAGATGCTCAACTTGACGACACGAGACAGGCAGACGCACGTGTATCGGCAGAGACTATGGGAGTAACGACCTCTGCGCTGCCACTTGAACTCAAGTCGTTTGGCCCATTGTGCGACCATCGTATCGCGCTTTCGGGTATCCGAAACTAAAGTGGGAATCAACCTTTTACCATAAACGTTAGTGCCCCTGTCTGTAGTGGACTTCGAAAAGAGTGCTCCTGAACACTAGCCATGCAAGTATGGTAAACTCATGCCCAAACATGGACAAGCACGGAAAGACCGAATACGCTTAGGACCAGGGGGTAATTGGCGACCTTAAATGTGCGGTTTATACCACAATGGTGAAATTAAAAGTGATTAACAGGATAAAAGTATGTATTGCGTGACAACCAAATCTGCGTGCGCCTTATACTGTATACGCAGAAATATTCGTCTGGAATTTAATTTCGTCTTTTTCGTCCAAGGAGCTTTTGAACTAAATTACATGCCGGACTAATGTCGATTTGTCCACCTTTTTTCAAAAAACGATTTCGGTCCATGGACTAAATTCTTAGCTGGGCGAACTCCCTGTCGTTGGAGTTTATTATTGACAGACTAAACGTTCTGCCCGCACAGTACTCCAGGGCAGCTAATACTCTGGAAATACAGTAGTATGACAAAGTGGCACTTGATCCCATCAAAAAAGGTAGCATGAAGAATATCGGTTTATGCTCTAGGACTAACAGTTACTGTGCATAGCCTGAGGATGCCCGGTTAGCTCAGTTGGTAGAGCATCAGACTTTTAATCTGAGGGTCAAGGGTTCGAGTCCCTTATCGGGCGACCAATCTTTTTTTCCGCCGTTGGCCAATAAAACTGTTTTTTTAATTTATGAAACCAAGCAGCTTATCCAAAGCTAGATGGCCAGTCGGAAGTTCGCAACATCAACAAAAACATGGCTGCCTTGCAGGAGGCTTTCTAAGCTCTCTCAGGCCCACCAAGAACGATCATCTCATCCAACCTTCAGTACAAGCATCAGAAGTGATGATGGCAGCGGCGGCAGCAGCAGGACCACCAGCACCACCACCAGCAGCAGCAGCAGTAGCAGCACCAGCAGTAGCAGCAGCAGCAGTAGCAGCAGCACCACCACCAGCACCACCAGCAGTAACATCAGTATTGGAAGTGATGATGGTGGCGGCACAGCAACAGCAGCAGCAGCACAGGCAGAGACCACACAGTACCGTACCTGTTCACATTCCCGCAACAAGTCTCTGAGCTCAGACGCTATCTTGCAATCTAAAGTCAGGAATGATGTTACGTCACCGCCAACACCCATACGACTGGTACGTCCTGGATCGAGGAATGACACAAGACACATACGGGGCTCAGAGAGCTAACGTAGACCTAAAGGCCGATTCACAAAACAACTTTTGCAACGCAACATGCGACCTGCGACACCTGCGACGGCGACACACGGTTCACATTCTCATTTTGGTGTTTGCGACATCCGTATGCACTGGACATGCACCCAGAGTAAGAAAAACTGTACTCCAACTCCATGTATGTACGTCGTGGGTCGCATGTCGCAAAAGTTGAGCTTTCCTCAACTTCTGCGACAGGTACACGTGGTGCATCCACGTGTGCTTGCGACTGTACGCGACAGGCATTTTTTTGGTCGCAACTGTCGCAAATCGCGTGTCGCGTCGCAAATATTTGCTTTGTGAATCGGCCTTTACAACAGCATCTTCACAACTAGCCCTCGGCGAACGTATTTCCAGAGCATAAGCCGCACTTTACACCGGTAATCCACCGGAAAAAAGGCAGTGAGGCTATACACTATACTATGATGGTCAAATGAACGGTGAAAAACAGGGTAGATGTCTGTATTGTGTGACAAAAATATGGTTTTCTATTTTTTTTACTAGGAACACAGCCCTACCGAGAGACATGTGGAGACATGTGGAGACAAACACAAAACAAGACACAGGGGATGTAGGGATGACGTGCCGATGTACCGGGAGCAACTCGACCGACCAGAGGTCTCGGCGTTAGCGTTGCAAGATGGCATTGAAAAAAGGGGGGAGGGGGTGCAGGGTCAAGTAGCAAAAATTATAATTTGGTGCAGCTGGGTGTAACTTATACTCCCGTGCGGCTTTCCAAATGATAGTATATTCTTGGGGAAACTATCAGGGATGCCCAGAGGAGCTCCGGAGTTGGGTGTGGCACGAACAAAAAAAGAAGAAAAAAAGGAATGCCGAAACCCGGGATTGAACCAGGGACCTTTAGATCTTCAGTCTAACGCTCTCCCAACTGAGCTATTTCGGCTGCTGAAAACTGCACATAGGCTGCAATGTTACAACCATTCCCAATAGTTGCAATTTTTCTTCAACTTGCAATCATTACAATCCAGGCTGTGTTTCCACGGCACCAAGAGGTAATAACCCCGAGAGTCTGTTTATGCATCTCTGAATTCTGAGCTACGGCTGCATTGCCTTCATTATGACATAGTCCGATGACGCTCAAGCTGACTGGATTCGAATTTTCGCACAGTCAAGCGCAATGATTACAAGCAAAAGAGTAGGAAAGATCCAAAGTCAGGATCTGTACGCGACACATCACACCCCGCACACGACAGACCTCCTAAGGTCTGAGAAAAAAAAGGATCGAACAATCATGGGATACAACACAACAACATGGGGCTAGGCCCTCTGCAGACTACGTACATAAAAAACCCAGTACAAACTCGCTTCAAGCCTAAACCGGTAGCGGCAGCGGTTGTGATGTGTGCATTTGCATGCGTAAGTGAGTGCGGCGGGCATGCGTATGTGGGTGGGTGTGTGCGTGCGTGCGCGCGCGCGTGTGTGTGTGTGTGTGTGTGTGTGTGTGTGTGTGTGTGTGTGTGTGTGTGTGTGTGTGTGTGTGTGTGTGTGTGTGTGTGTGTGTGTGTGTGTGTGTGTGTGTGTGTGTGTGTGTGTGTGTGTGTGTGTGTGTGTGTGTGTGTGTGTGTGTGTGTGTGTGTAGGTGCATATGTGTATGTGCATGAAGAAGCAAGCGTAACGCTTGAGAAGGACACACAGCAACTGACCACATCTGTGAATGTAGACATCCAGGGATAGAGGTAGAGAGTAATTGATGACACGCGAGATTGACGGGATGTTGATGCCACGCGATGCCAGGTCAGTGGCCACCAGAACATCACATTTATCTGAGAAAGGTGGAAGAGAGAGAGAGAGAGAGAGAAACGTTGTACGGGAAATGGGTAAAACACCCGTTTCCAGAGCAAAATGGAGCAGATTATTGAGTTTCTAGTGCCAGGCTCAGCAAAATATCGATGATTTTGGAGCAACATTTATGCGGCAAGATATCAAGCGGAGCAGAATCTGTCTGGGCCTGGTGCATGACTTTTTTTGACGAGAGGGTATGCCCCCCCCCCCCCCCACGCCCCTGATTCTCCTATCTGGGTAACGACAATTGAAAAAAAAAGAAGAGAATACCAGGCCATGTTGTTGAAGAAGCGTGTACCTCCTAGATTCAGTCAGGTCTGAAATTGGCACTGAATTCTATGCTTTTGCAAAAGAAAAAACGAGAAAAAAAATCGGTCGCCCAATAAGGGACTCGAACCCTTGACCCTCAGATTAAAAGTCTGATGCTCTACCAACTGAGCTAACCGGGCTCCACAAAGAGGATATGGTGAAAGGTGCATTATAAGGTATAAAATAATATGGTTCGCCCGCCCACGCCCCGTGGCCGCTTGACTTCTCAACGGATTCCAATGCCTGCTACAGTACCAAGGAGCGTAACACCTTACCGTTTCTGAAAGCGTCAATGGCGGCATTCCTGTCCGACTGCGGTAGGTCAGCATGGAGTGCGGCAACATGAAACTGTTCCGTGCGAAGGTGCTCAACGACCTGGCTAGCAAACAAGCGGCAGCAAACACGGGCAAGAACTTACAGTGAAGGCACGTTCATAAGCATTCTGCTGCAGGTCTAAGTAAAAAGGTCGATGTGGAGATAGAAATTGTATAATTGAAATAGGAAAAGATGATCGTGGTGCTCATGTCACGCACACACGCACGCACGCACGCACACACACACACACACACACACACACACACACACACACACACACACACACACACACGCACACACACGCACGCACATGCATACACACACGCATACTACTACTACTACTATTGACAGCTGCCAGAAATGGCCACGCCGCTCCCCAAAGGGAGGTACTGTCAGAGAGGTTAGGGGAGAGGTAGGCAGTGCACGCATACACACACATGCACGCACACACGTATACACACACGCATGCACACACACACACGCACGCACACACGTATACACACACGCACGCACACACACACACGCATGCACGCACGCACACACACACACACACCCCTACATGCCTACGGTTGTGGATTTAAATGCACAATCGTGACAATCGTTGCCATGCAGTGTGCGTGCGTGGCATGAGCCACAATCATCTTTCCTACTTCAACAAGCAGATCTGCCCGGCACTTCCGGGGTATTTTTTGCACAGTTCCTGACTTGCATAAAGGCTGGAATGGACAAAGGGGGAGAGAGGGGAGAGGCAGGAGCATGACGACCCTTGAAAGAAGAACAGCGTTGCATATCCACAACGAACGAGGGCCACCTCAAGAGGAACTTGAAAGATGCACACGGGAACCGAGCATGTTACTGCATTTCCGCGAATATAAGTCTCACCGTAAACTTCAAGGGCAAAGAAGGGAGTGCGACTAACACGTTGAGCCACCTACACGTACAAGCCAGGTCCAACTCGGATAAGCATTCAGCGGCGGGGCCGAGCTGGCCTCACACTTTTGGCCACAGACGTCTGACTGAACCTTTGGTCAAAGACCTTTGGCTGAATCTCTGGTCAAATTGGCCAAACATGTAAAGCGACATCCTACTTATGTGAATACTGTATAGCAGCAGGAAATTTTCGGACGGAATTTATTTTCGTACGATTTCGTACACGGCCTCTTTCGTACTAAAATAAATTCCGTACTAAAATCTGTTCATGTGAAATTATGTACACTATAGCGTGCATACTGCTTGCGAACACGTGTATTTAGCATGCAGCGTAGCTAGAACTGTGCGAAAATATAATCCGTCCGAAAGGTCGAAATTCAGCTTTGTCCGAAAATATTTTCATCCGAAAATTCCCTGCTATAGAATAACTGAATATACTGACACAATTAGGCTCAGACCTGAAAGTGAGGGTGCGTTCTATAATCGAGTGTGACTTATAATCGGGGAAATATGGTTAGCTAGAGCTGACCTCGTTGACTTCAGCGCCATTGGAACAGAAGACCAGAACCGGTGGACGGGTGGTGCGGCGCAGAACCTCCAGAAGCTTTTTCTATAACGGGTTGCACGGCAACATGGACAGAACAAACAAACACACACATGTACAGACACACACACGCGCGTGCACGCAAACCCACACCCAAATATGCGTACACCCACGTACGCGCGTACACACATGCACGCAAGCACACGCACAGCGCGAGCGCGCGCGCGCGCACACACACACACACACACACACACACACACACACGCACGCACACACGCACGCACACACGCACGCACGCATGCACGCACACACACGCACAGCCAAGTGGAGGATGAACAATTGTTTGCTTGTACAAGATGTCAGAGCAAGTAGACCATTCACCAACTCCCACACAACTATCCAGCGTCTTCTTAGCAATAACGCCCTTTTTCAATGTAGTTCAACCGTGAATAGTGAATAGTGTGGAGATGGAATGCCCCAAGCAGTAGGAAGAGTACAGTTCGTTTCAAAAATATAGACGCGTGATTTCAAAAAACCGTTAGGCCAGCACCTATGCCACTTAAAATCTGTGATCACTTTGTGGATAAAAATTTCGAAATTGGGCGTTTGCTATCCGATCGCTTAGCAATCTATATGAGAGTAATTGCGGGAAGGACCTGAGCAATGTTCCGAAAAAAATTCTCAAAAAGCTCCAGCCGAATTTGAAATAATTATTTCAAAAATACCATGCGTTTATATTTTTGAAATGGACTGTAGGTGTTGCTACAACATTCAGCATACAAGTAAAAAACATGAATATCATCCTCTATGACGAACGGCATCCTCACATGCAGCGCTCCTGCCTCACATCTCCATCCGCCGAAATAGCTCAGTTGGGAGAGCGTTAGACTGAAGATCTAAAGGTCCCTGGTTCAATCCCGGGTTTCGGCATTTCTTTTCTTTTTTTCTCCTCCACAAAGTCGGATAAAGTACCGAAAGAACATAAAAGAGAGGTTCTGCAAAACGAAAATGCGTACAAACTTTCGCTCTACGCCATCAAGTGAGAAGCCTCCCACGAACTTTCGCAACTTTGGACGCGAAACTTGCAGGGAACGTGAAATGTACTTTCGTTGGAAATTTCGTTGGAAATTTCGTGAGATCGGGTCATGGCGTACGTGCACTTGGCGCGTGCAAACTACGAAAATGTGCAGAACACAAAGTTCGTGCCTGTCGCGAAACTTCGTGCAAATTTTCGTTTGCAGAACCTCTCTACTGTCTGTTCGGGGCCGTCCGGGGATACCGAATGTTTTTTTCAAAACAATTTTGAGCACCGCTCGTACTAGTACCATACCCCTTGCCAGCCTTGGCCAAGCGCAAAAATGGGCCCACTCACGCTAGCGTCGTGAGTGGTGGAGGAACCGTGCATGTACAAACAAAGGCGGTCAGAGCAGGAAGTAGAAATTGAACGGCAAGAAAGCTCCGACAGGACTGTTGCCATAGTTTAGGAGGACTCAAGCGAGCGATGTCGAGCTACAACGAATCGAACAACTTTGTTTGGTCGAAGGAAGATGAAACTGAAGTTTTTCCAGTGTGTCGATCTCTCCCCCGATCGTCCCAATACTTTTTATAACGTTGTGGAGGCGTTGTGGACCGTGGCTCCTGGAGATGCTGACAAGTAGACATTCTTTCCGGGGGCACAGCGTTCCTGGAAAGAAAAATATGCATCTGCTCCATCAGCTCGTGACGAACTATTGAAGGAAGCTGCAGCCGCCAGAAGACAAAGAACTGCTAGCAAAGGTAGTGAGCGATTGCTCAAGTCGTATTTTGAGCCAGTTGATAAGTGTAGCAATTCTGAGAAGACGTCCGCCGATCGTTCACAGCACACGAGTCAGCCAGTGGTGCTGAGCCGTATACCTGAAGTGAACAACGGTATAGTGATGTTGCGTATCGGTTTTATTAGAAAGAAAGACTTTTCATGGCTCATTTTTGTTGTGGTCCTTTGGTTTATTTTGTTTTGTTTTGCGTTCTCCTTTTCACTCAGTTAGACTGTTTTGGTTGCACATGCAGTTTGTGCATGCACCATGGAACGGTTACGTCATTGTCATGCGTTACGTTTTGTTTGCGCGCATGCTCATATGTTGCCATGATGTTTGTCTTTTTCTTCAGTTTCCAGTTTACCTCGTCGTGTCCGGTCTTCTTGTTTGTCCGTCTCCGTCTTGTCGAATAATTATGTAAAACTATAGTTCAGTTTCGTTGTTGTGGGCAGGGAGGCTGGCCCCCTGACGCCTGGGGAACATGTGCGGGTGCACAAAATTTGGCGATCACGCCAGGATAGTCAGGGAGACGAGGAAATAAATGAGGCCTGTGACCCTGGGTCCAAAAAGAAGCGGTGTTTTTTTACGCAATTGGTGCTGCCTCGAACAACTTCTTCACTGCAAAAGTTACTGGGAACAAGACGCTAATGAAAGAACTGGAGAAAACTGCCAGCAGCTACTTGTCTTATACTGCGGAGCTGAAGTACTACCGATCATCTTCCGTGTTTCAACCGCAGAAATCAGTTCTAGCCCACAGTCTTCAAGAGGTACACAATCAAGTAAAAATTCTGCGTTAACTCAAACTGCGTTGCAGGCAACCAAGGAGCCCCGTGGTCGGAAAGCTTGATGGATAGAGGCTTTGGCGGAGTTCGAGTTTGCTATTGTGCACCGCCCTGGGTCTCGACACAGGAATGCCGATGCCATGTCCCGCGTGGTGACAGATGTGCCGTCTCCTCCGCCGAGTCCGCCGCCACTTGCTGCTGTGATTGTTCCTCAGACTGCCGAGATTTTTCCTCCGCCTGTTTTTGTTCGTTCTCAGGTAAAAACACTACGATATGCCATTGCTCGGGTTGCAGACATAACAGTAAACGTGCAGCAGTCGCTCACTTCAGTAGGATCAGCCCAACTGACACAAGAAGATGGAAGCAGTCAGCAAGCTATGTGCTGAGTCATGCATTCTATTCCACAAACTGCAAGATCCAATTCGGCGTCTGTCAGTCAGCAGTTCACAAATGAAATCTCGGGGTCGTTTTCGAACCCGTGCTGAGGATATCCGACTTGACCGTGTCGTCAACCCGCATACGTCTTGGGATGATGCCATTCAGGGTCTACAGGATGAGGCTGAAGCAGATGAGGCCGTGGGTGCTCCGTTGAAGGTGAAGCAGCTAGTCGACGCTGCGCAAGTTCGCCGCACGACGAATGTGCTGCCATTGTCACATATCCTGGAGCATGTCCAGTTCCCGCATGATCCTAGTACTGCTGCGTCGATTTCCAGTCGCATTGTGCAGCAGTTGCTGAAGTTGTTCCCCATCATGAGCATCCACCAGATCTCAACAGGACAGTGGGCACTTGCGAGCAAAGCGGACTTCGCCCTGGACAGGGTTGGAAACACATTTGCTGACAATGTGATGTTGTCCGCGGAGAAGGTGAATGTTTCACCTTCTGACAGTGTCAGTGGCAGCAGTGTTGTCTATCATCTACTGTAAAACATGTAATTTTAGGTGTATTAAAATTTCGGTGGCAGGGACCTGCCAGGTTTCGGGTGTAACTTAGAATTAGGTGACCAGCGTTCCCTTCACATACAGTGCATACTCTAGTACTAGCCTTTAAGGTGTAATTTAAATTTAGGTGCCTGGTTTCTCTAACGAAATCACCGAACTTAAAGTTACACCGAAAATAACATGTTTCGCAGTACCCAGAGGCAGACATGGCCTAATGCCGTTTTGAAGAAAAAAATCGGCAACCGCGGACGGCCCCTTAGCTCATTCTAGCGTTAACCCCATTCGATTTCATGGCAAGTAAAGGGAGCTATGGAATATTGTAATTTCACATGTTCAGAGTACAAAATTTCCCATGCTTTCGGTGCATCTCTTTCATACCTACAATTTCAAAAGCGGCACAAACACTGCCACACATCATCCAAAAGGGAACTGCTCCTCTGCACGTAAAACTTTTATCCACCCAATAAATAAAGGGGCCCGTCAGTAAATACCGACATTTATTGAGAAAGGAAAACTAGTCATTTCTCTTCCCCCCCCCCCTCCCCTCCCCTCCATGAGAAACAAACACATACAAACGGTACATATATTTTTTCTTTCTTTTTTTCTGGACGTGCTCACACACACACACAAACTGTGCATCGATATTTTTTGAGGAACAAACAGGCGCTCAATCCCCTCCCCCCTAAACGACTACTTTTTTGTTTCTAGATAAATATCTATATTAAATTTTACGGATGGCCCCCCAGTAAGTTACAGTAAAACCTGGTTTAAGCGACCACCCCACGGTGCAAGGAAAAGCGGTCGTTAAAGCCAGGTGGTCTTTAGAACCACGTCCCACAGTGTCTGTGTAGAACTGCCGGTGCATGGAAAAACGGTCGTTAAGAGCAGGTGGTCGCTAAACCCAGAGGTCGCTTACACCAGGTTTTACTGTAGCCAACCTGGTCTTTGGTCCATATGCCAACAATTACCAGCACCTAAAATTTCTGAAATCAGAGTAACTCATCCACGCAGAAGTGATAGCAAACGTAGATAAACAAGGATGTGCAACTCGAGATGGTGTGGCCCATGGTGGAATTTTGTTGATGTCATCTTTTCTGGAAATCATGAGTCATACCGTACTACGCACGCGCTGCGAGTCTTTCGGGAAATTTTGCAACGCGCACTTGGCCGGGCTTTACATTAAAAAGGCCGGTGCCCAGCACGTGCTCTCACACTGCTCAGCGGCAAGACGCGAGTGCTCTGTACGACACACGTCGTGCTTTCCGAAAGAGGTCCCTTCCGCCGTGGGCCGGGGTACCTGCAGATTGTGGACAAGAGATGCGGAGTTGCACACTCTTGTTTATCTACTCTTGGTGATAGGCAACGGTAAGCTGTCAATAAATTTCGTTGGGAAATTTAATGCATGGTCTGCAATACAATAAGAACTCACAGGTTTCTGGTAGTGGTGCATAAAGAGAACATCTTGACTGATACCACGAGCAGTCAGTCCAGAAAAGCCAACGTGGATCGTGATCTATGAAGAGAGGGAGAGGGAGAGGGAGAGGGATAGGGAGAGAGAGAGAGGGGGGGGGGGAGGAGGGAGGGAGGGAGGGAGAGAGAGAGAGAGAGAGAGAGAAGTGAAAGCGGCAGAGACAAAATGGCCAGACAAAAACACTTCTGCTTGAAACTCTGCAGCAAAATTCGAGCTCTACTCCCACTACACTTTCCGTGTGCTCGCAAACTAACTTTCGGACGGCATTGCAGCTAATGCACCTACATTTCAAGGATCGTGCCGAGACTGGGACGAATCAAGGAAAATATGTGTGCTGGTGCAAGAGTTTTGACGTCATGAGTACAAGGTAGGGTGGTGGCAAGTAGGGTATGTATCATAGGCAGCACACCACACAATCACCCATTATCACAGCTGCATACTCCTGGATACGGACACTGACCACTGCGACAAAAGTGTGTGCGTGTGTGTGTGTGTGTGTGTGTGTGCGTGCGCGTGGGTGTGCACGTGCGTTCGTGTGTGAAGGAGAGAGGGAAAGAAAGAGAGAGAGAGAGAGAGAGAGAGAGAGAGAGAGAGAGAGAGAGAGAGAGAGAGAACAGAAGGCATAGCTTACTGGATTCAGAACAGCAGATCGAGCGAGTCGCTCCAGAGACTCTGGCAGGGTAGCGGACCACAGGGAGGTTTGACGTGGTATATGCCGGCTTGTGGCTAGGCCAACGATCTGAAGATAGAGAGAGAGAGCCCATAACGCAATGATGTTGTTTGTACCACCCACACCCCTCACAGCCACCTGGATATGGTCGCGTAGGGTGTTGAACATTGTATTGCTGATCCCAGTATACTCACATTCATTACTGACACCTCCTATACACTTTGGCAATGCACAATGGGATTATTGGCAGCCCTAGGAATATGTCCAACAAACATTCTAAGGGCAACGACAGCTGCGCACCGAGATCTTCTTGAGGGCACCAAATATACACTCCGGGTCAGATTTCACCCTTTCAACTCTTACCGGTTTGTGACTTGTCATAACCGTTCTTACAGCTCAAAGTTTACCTCCATTCAACTGGTTGGTTCCCGCATGATCTAACATCAGCCGAAATAGCTCAGTTGGGAGAGCGTTAGACTGAAGATCTAAAGGTCCCTGGTTCAATCCCGGGTTTCGGCATTCCTTTTTCTTTCTTCTTTTACATTTTGCACCACACAAAAGATCGGAGTTTCTGAAATGGCACGGCACTCTCTCGAAAGGCAACTTTTGTGATGGAGTCCTATCTAACTAAAAGTGGCTGCCAGCAAGAGCAGTTGCTGCTTTGGCTGATATTTTACTATCTCTCATAACTTGTCTTGCCCTAAGCTTGCACCATGAGCACAGTAGAACTCCACAGGTCCGGGCACAGCACAATGTATTCATGCTGCTATACTCTACTCACTGGCTGCTTTCTGATATGAACTAGAGTATCAAAGACACACAATAGAGAGGTTCCGCATAACGTAAGTATGTTGGTAAAAAACGTAGTCGATCTCCGGAAAGTCTTACATACATTGCATGCAGATCTGTGTTTCGCCATATGAAGTTTTCGAATCGCGTAGCTGCCCTTGGCAAATCGAAATGCGGCATTGTACGATAGGGTCGACATGGGGACAGAGTCATAAATTTGTACTCCCAACCACCTACGGACAACCTACGTTATCAGAGCCCTATCTACGTGCTCTACGTAGACAGCTTTCCGTAAGTGGAGTGCAAACTCGCGAATTCACGGGTTTTCCAGTCCACTAAAGTAAAGTTGCTCAACTACGTAGTGCGGAACCTGTCTAATACTGGCTTTGTCCACTGGACATAGAGCAGTATAATGCAGCCTGAGGACCTTACACACCTGCTTAGTATCAAAGACACACCTTACGCAGCTGGTCTTCGAATCCGCGGCTGAGCATCTGATCCGCCTCGTCCATGACCAAGTATGATATGCTATTGAACAAATACAATGAACATACAAACAGACAGACAGAAAGACAGCCAGACAGACAGACACAAAGATAGACAGACACACACACACACACAAGTAAAGCAAAATGTGAGCGAAAAAGTTGCCAGATGCGA